GGGGGGGATTACTTTGAAAGAAAAATTTGGTTTATAGAAAAGTATCGATGATTCCATAAACACTTACTAACCTGGTATTAGGTGCCAAGCCTTTAGGTGCCACTGAACACAAGCAAGGAATTGCCATGATGCTGACATTCAAGAACTGACCCTGGATCATCTGCCACTGGTCATTACAGTCTAAAGACAATGAAAGTGATTGGTTACCTTCCCTCACCAGAGCAGAATGTCAGTAGAACCTGGCTCAGTTCTCAAGGAGGTACTTTTAGACTCACCAGATTTGGGAGATCCCTGTGCCCTCCTAAAAATAAGAAAACAAAGAAAAAATCAGAAAAAAATAACATCTATTAAACATGAGAAGATTATAAAATCGTACATTTCATATTAAGTATTTTCTTAGAAAGTAAAAATATGTGAATAATTGCATTACTAAATTATATTNGACTCCATGATTCTATATTATTCTCTAATATGTTAGCAAAGCAACCAAAGGTCATAATCTAATAAATTGTTTATATTGAACTATTTTATGCTACAAAGATACAGATGTAGATATTACTTTGAGCTTTTTAACCTACCTTTCTTGTAAACCTGGAGAGCTGTTAAGTGGTAAAAATGATATTTCACAGTCCTCTGGCCTAAAATACAATGAAATTTGTCATTAACAGTCACTGATTGTGGGATATGAAATTCTTGATTTAAGAAAAAGAGACTTACTTAAGCTTTGCCAGTGCCTTAATTACAGCAAAATCCCTCCGTTGGCTAGGGGACATCCATCGATGTTTTTCTGCCAAGGCCAGAGTTCTTCCACCAAAGCCAAACATGGCTGAGAACCCAAAGCGAAGCAGCTTGCCGGCGGTGCTAAAGGTACAGACATCGACCGGTTGTATGTGCCCTTGAATTATATTAAATATTAGTCAATCAGTGAGTGCACAGTGGTGCCAGCTGACAGAAGAGCATATTTATTTACTTATAGAAGACCTCAAGCTACTTTATACCATAATGAATATCTTTGCTTTCTCTTTCTCTCTCTTTACCTACAACTACTGCAACTGCCATTTGCAACTTTCTCCATTACTACGGGAAGAAACACAAAGCAGGAGATTTTGCAGCTTACAGCTATTTCGTATAAATCATGGTTAGGGAGTGATGTGGTATGTGCAAAGTAAACTTAGATTTAACAGTAGTTTTGCACTGTTTATCTGAGTTTATGTGGTTTCCATCAATTGGGATCATAAAAGGTCTAGTGGATGTACCCTGGATGAAAAGTGTTATCATGTGTTTGTTTTCTTTCTTTTAATAACATAATCCCAGCCCTAGAGTCTTGCTACAAACAACAGTATCGGATATACTTAAATAGCGTGCATGGATTTTCCTGACTGGGTTATAAAATTGTGATCTTACACATCATTACAATATTTTTTTCTATCAAGATTATAGCAAAACTTCATTTACTGCTCTTTATAGCATCTGCGTTCTGAAAAAAATAGGCAGTCCAAACAGTGAAGCTTTGCCTAATTGACTTTTGGGGTTTAATTAAACATTTCTTTGCTTTGAGAGACAAAAAACCTATCTTTCCTCATGCAAGTCTGACAGAAATAAAGAAACCTTCCTACATTAATATAAAAACTTCCTTATAAAACAAACTTCTTTGAAATAACTCTTACCCATTATAATGTGCAAAGTTGCAGTTACCACGTGAGGGATTCCATGGAGGGAATGTGCTAATACATTGGTAGAGCCTGCCAAGTCAATTTTAAAACACATACAATCAATGTAGCATAGGTGTTAAATCAACCATTTTCTCTCCCTTTATACAGATATCATTATGTAATATTCAGATGATAAATTCATGGAAATTTATGTTTCCATTCATGGTTTACATGCACATCAAATGGTTACTGGATGATTGTTTAATCTTCAAACAACTTAAAATTTTTTAAATCACTTAGAGTATCTCCTTGCTTACAGCTTTTTCCATCATGAATGTCTATTCTCTACCAAAAACTACTAGCTATATCAAAGTCTATTCTATCCAACTTTAATAAATGGGCTTCTAACTTCTATACCAAAAGAAGCACCAACAGCAGAAGAAGGGTGTTTCTGGAGAGCAGAGACAAATGCATAAATACATAAATAATAAAAATCTAAGAAATAATAACTAAGAAAAATATACAAAATCACTACAAAGTACAAAAGACATGCTTTAAATACATTAAATGCATCTCAGAGATAAGCTCTCACCCAAACAGGGATATTCCCCTTTATTATCTGACAAATGATATCTTAGATGAAGAAAATATTTAATTCCATGGTATTTGCCATCATATGAAAATCTCGACTGAGACATTATAGATTTCTGAGTTTCATAATCATTAAGATAACTTAAAATCCATATGAATTTTTCTTACCTAAAGAAGAAAAGGCCTCTCTCAAGTCAGGCCTCTGTAACATTTGTATCTCTGAGATCCTGGGGTAANTGTATTGATTCATTTACAGGTGTTATCAGTAAAAATGATCATTTTAAAGACTAGAGCACTTCCTTTGTGTGACTTTGATTAATATTTATATTCCACACTAGACTGAAACTCTGATGAGGACAGAAACTATGGGTTCTGTTAACTTGTCTGTTTTTTGACTCATGTATCCAAAGTGCTTGGAATATATTAGGCACTCAATAAACAGCTGTTGGATGGATAGATGACGGACGGACGGACGGAAAGAAGGAAGGAAGGGAGGGANAAGAGACTTACTTAAGCTTTGCCAGTGCCTTAATTACAGCAAAATCCCTCCGTTGGCTAGGGGACATCCATCGATGTTTTTCTGCCAAGGCCAGAGTTCTTCCACCAAAGCCAAACATGGCTGAGAACCCAAAGCGAAGCAGCTTGCCGGCGGTGCTAAAGGTACAGACATCGACCGGTTGTATGTGCCCTTGAATTATATTAAATATTAGTCAATCAGTGAGTGCACAGTGGTGCCAGCTGACAGAAGAGCATATTTATTTACTTATAGAAGACCTCAAGCTACTTTATACCATAATGAATATCTTTGCTTTCTCTTTCTCTCTCTTTACCTACAACTACTGCAACTGCCATTTGCAACTTTCTCCATTACTACGGGAAGAAACACAAAGCAGGAGATTTTGCAGCTTACAGCTATTTCGTATAAATCATGGTTAGGGAGTGATGTGGTATGTGCAAAGTAAACTTAGATTTAACAGTAGTTTTGCACTGTTTATCTGAGTTTATGTGGTTTCCATCAATTGGGATCATAAAAGGTCTAGTGGATGTACCCTGGATGAAAAGTGTTATCATGTGTTTGTTTTCTTTCTTTTAATAACATAATCCCAGCCCTAGAGTCTTGCTACAAACAACAGTATCGGATATACTTAAATAGCGTGCATGGATTTTCCTGACTGGGTTATAAAATTGTGATCTTACACATCATTACAATATTTTTTTCTATCAAGATTATAGCAAAACTTCATTTACTGCTCTTTATAGCATCTGCGTTCTGAAAAAAATAGGCAGTCCAAACAGTGAAGCTTTGCCTAATTGACTTTTGGGGTTTAATTAAACATTTCTTTGCTTTGAGAGACAAAAAACCTATCTTTCCTCATGCAAGTCTGACAGAAATAAAGAAACCTTCCTACATTAATATAAAAACTTCCTTATAAAACAAACTTCTTTGAAATAACTCTTACCCATTATAATGTGCAAAGTTGCAGTTACCACGTGAGGGATTCCATGGAGGGAATGTGCTAATACATTGGTAGAGCCTGCCAAGTCAATTTTAAAACACATACAATCAATGTAGCATAGGTGTTAAATCAACCATTTTCTCTCCCTTTATACAGATATCATTATGTAATATTCAGATGATAAATTCATGGAAATTTATGTTTCCATTCATGGTTTACATGCACATCAAATGGTTACTGGATGATTGTTTAATCTTCAAACAACTTAAAATTTTTTAAATCACTTAGAGTATCTCCTTGCTTACAGCTTTTTCCATCATGAATGTCTATTCTCTACCAAAAACTACTAGCTATATCAAAGTCTATTCTATCCAACTTTAATAAATGGGCTTCTAACTTCTATACCAAAAGAAGCACCAACAGCAGAAGAAGGGTGTTTCTGGAGAGCAGAGACAAATGCATAAATACATAAATAATAAAAATCTAAGAAATAATAACTAAGAAAAATATACAAAATCACTACAAAGTACAAAAGACATGCTTTAAATACATTAAATGCATCTCAGAGATAAGCTCTCACCCAAACAGGGATATTCCCCTTTATTATCTGACAAATGATATCTTAGATGAAGAAAATATTTAATTCCATGGTATTTGCCATCATATGAAAATCTCGACTGAGACATTATAGATTTCTGAGTTTCATAATCATTAAGATAACTTAAAATCCATATGAATTTTTCTTACCTAAAGAAGAAAAGGCCTCTCTCAAGTCAGGCCTCTGTAACATTTGTATCTCTGAGATCCTGGGGTAAAAGCCTGCTTCTGAAGGGGAAAATACCAGCGAGGCCCTGCCATTCCCAGGAGGTAAAAAGGGTTTAAAATTAAGCTACCAGTTTTCTTCAATTAAAGAATATGAGAAAGAAATCCAGTAACCACTGAGGGTTGAGAAAACAGGGATGTGTTATGTACTGTAGCTTTCAAGGCAAAGACTGGGTTTGTCAATCAGGAACATTCCTGTGCGGTCGCACGTGGACCTCTTCAATTTGTGTCACTTTGAACCGCTGTGTGCTTGGGTTGCTCAGCTGGGAAAGCTGAGGTAACTCAGACATTATCCACCAAGACTGTCATTAAAATAATAGTGATCATTAGAGATCTATGTAAGCATTTATGATTTACAGGCCTCGAATAATTCCAGTGCAAAGAGAAGTCCACCTTAACCAACTGGTAAATTGGTTCCTATTGCTTGATCAAAAAGCAAGTTATCCTCTGACCCTTGCTACTCAGAATACGGCCCAGGGTCCAGCAGCAATGACAATACCTGGGTGCTTACTAAGACCAACTCCTGGGCCCCACTCTAGACCTACAGAGTCAGAGTCTACACTGTGTAAGATGCTCAGGTTAGGTGTATGCGCATTAACCTGGAGAGTCACTCCTAGAATGCGTGGTCTCGGGAGCAGCAGAATCAGCATTACTTGGAAACTTCTTTTTAAAAAAATTTATCTTTATGGTTGAAAGTACTATAGATGTCCCCTCCCCACACACATATTGACCACCTCCCTCCCACTCCCTCGGCCTCCCCAGGCCTTCCCAGCACCATTGTCTGTCCATGGGCTACGCATGTATGCATATAAGTTCTTTGGTTCATCTTTTCCCGCCACCCCCCTTCCCTCTGAAATATGTCAATCTGTTGCATGCTTCAATGTCTCTGGATCTTTTTTGTTTGTCAATTTATTGTGTTCATTAGATTCCACATATAAGGAACTTACTTTAAAAGGGCATATTTCTGGGTTCCATGTACAACCCATGGAAATGGAATGCCTGGGAATGGGGCCCAGGTAGGTGTCCCTGTTTTAGCAGGTTCTCGAGGTGATTTTTATGCACCGCACCCTAAGGTTTCAGAACAAGTGGTCCAGAAACCTGTTACTCAGTGGATCTTTACCTAGGAGTCAAATACCTAGTTCTTCGACTCTATAGGCTGCCCTTTGGCCATCTAACTGCTAATTAATCTGGACTGGGGGTGGGAGGGTTGG